CATATGTTGGTGTCTGTACATGTAATGGTATATGTGTGTATGCATGGGTGCATGTATAGATGTGTATATATGGAATGCGTGTGTGCATGTATATCCATAATTGTATGTGTGTGTGCTTTCTGTTTGTGCATTTATTTCTGTGTATGTGTATGCTTGTATATGTATGTAGATGCAGGTGTGTATGTATCACATATGTCTGTATATGAGTTCACCTGTATGAAAATGTAGATGTATGTATACATGTGTGTGAGTGTGTATGATGGCGTACACACCATGTGTGTATGCATTATATATTTCTTTTTAAATCCATAACATGCATTATTGATAACAGGTATTAGTACTCTGAAAAATGAGTACTTAGAAGGGCCGAGTGTCAGACGGGCCTGCGTGCCCAATTTGTAACCCTTTGAAAATAAAGTTTGTTCGTTCATTGTTCACATATTTTTGCACATGTTATTTTTTCTGACCTCATGTCTTTTGTGAGTGTTTATTCATAAATTTGTCTTCTGCATTTCTACTTTGTCCAGTACGAGAGTTCCTGTAGCTGTGACTTTTGTAGCCAAAAAATTATTGTCTGTTTCACTCTCTCTCACTGTAATGTTGATATACTTATGCTTGATAGCCACTCATGCCACATTTGTCCATTGTTAACTTTTGGCAGTACAATCTGAGAATCAGACACTTTAATTTCTCTGGTAACTGTATTTTATGCTATCCACTTTAGAGCTGCAGTGATTGCCTCCACCTCCATACTCATGCTTGAAGTTGTAGATGAAAAAGCACAATTTTTTTCTGCCATGATCTTTCCGTTTACTCTAGCTGAAAACCTACAACCAGATCTTTCACACTGATGAATTGAATCACTGTGCACACTATTGTGAAATCTAACCCATCGTTTTTATCTATCAGTTGTTGTCTTCCTAACGTGATAATGACCTCATAGAAATTACTGTCATACATATCCCTGTCGACTCTCTCCTGCCCCCTGTTTCTTCATTTCACTGAAGCCACTGTCCCGATGGTATCTTCAGCAAGTGCCTTCCACGACTTTTCCTCTTTTCAACCGATCTCCTCATAAATCTTTCAGATTACCATGCAGCGGATGCCTTTCATCATTGGTAACTCACATGTAGACCTTGGCTTGTGCCAATAACAGTCTAGACTTTGTATATCATAATACTTGTCCTCTTGTTGGAATCCTGCCAAGTGGTCACATAATTCCTAGCTCTGTCATTGATTTTGTTTTTCTTTTTTTGCATCATCTATTCATCTGTGACAAAATTTGACATGAAAATAAACACCTCAAAAACTGAAGTAATGACCATAGGAAAGAAACACAGTAATGTAAACATAAAGATCAATGACATACAATTAGAACAAGTTCAAGAATTCAAGTACTTAGGATGCATATTTACAGAAGATGGAAGACTCGATAAAGAGATACAGGCTGGAGTTCAAAAAGCCAATGCAGTCAGTCAACTACCAACTGGCCCCACTTCTTCGTCATCCAAAGATCTCGTTACCAGCCAAACAACGGATGATCAGCAGCATTTTCATCCCTACGTTATGTTATCAGTGCCAAACGTGGACAATGAACAAATCACATATGCAAAAAATAACTACGTGTGAAATGCGATGTCTCCGAAGAGTCACCAACAATACACGAAGAGACAGAGTCACAAACGTCAGCATTTGAGATAAAGTTGGAACAAGAGCATGCATGGAACATATTGAAAGACAGAGAATGAAGTGGTTTGGTCATTTAGTAAGAATGCAACCGGATCAGATTGCCTATAAGGCCTTTTACAGTAGAACATTGGGAAGAGGAAGACCCAGGAATAAATGGATAGATGGAGTTGCTGAATACGGCCAGAAGATCCAGAAAACTGTCACTCAAATCACGCAAGAGGCACAAAACAAATATTTTAAACCACGACACTGGGCTGCAACCCGGTAAAAGTGAAGAAGACAATAGATAGATAGATTCGTCGGTGAGAATTTTGTTTTGTATTATTGCCCAGAAAATATCTGGATTCAATAATGGCGTAGCTGAAAGTATGAACTGTGCATTTAGAAACATTACCATGTATATGTACATGTTAACATTGTGTATGAAATTATTCATACAGTGTCTGGGAATATCAATATTAGCTATATCAATATTAATAATATATTATTGTAAATCATCATCATCATGAAGCAGATCCTTTGCAGAACGTCGCTGTCATCACGGTCTGCCTGAAAGAAACTTGGTCTCTCGCAAGCTCTCCCGCCTCATGTACTTTCACACTCAAAGAGTCACTTATATCCTGTACCCATCTTCGTGTCGGTCAGCCCTGCCTCTTCCTCCTGGTACCATGCCCTCTGCTATAATTTTTTCCAATCCATCGTGGCGCTTGATATGACCAAAATATTTCAGCTTTATTTTTTTCGGACATGTTGCTGTTTATTAGCCAATCTTCCTTGATGTTCAGATCTTTCAAGATGTCAGTATTTCTCATCTTCTTTGTCCAAGATATTCTGAGAATCTTTCTATAGCATTTCAGCTCAAAAGCCCCTATTCTCTTTCTTAAGGACTGGGAGATAGTCCACGACTCACATCCGTATGTTGCTACAGGGAAGATGCATGCTCTCAAAATGCATATTTTGATCTCCTTGCTGGTGCTTAACAAAAGACTTTTAAGACTGTTTAATCTTTGCATTGCTATGGCCATCCTCCTTTTAATTTCTGTCAAACAGTCTCCATTGCTATTTATTGTAGAGCTTAGATAATCAGTTTGTGAAATTTTCAATTTCTTCATCATTTATTTTTTTTTATTGTTATTTTCTTTAAATTCAAGAACAGATTTTGATTTTGAACGTGCTTTTGAACTGACAATATTTTAATTTTCTATTCCCTTTACGCTGTTTGAAAGGTGGACTGTGTCATGTGCGTAGCAAAGTTCCAGAATAGGGTTGCCACCAATTTTGAACAGATCATAACTGTCACAAGTCTGATCATTTTTTTACATTTCTCATTATATTTTCTGAGAATATATTGAATAGGTATGGTGAGAGAATGCACCCCTGCCTCACCCCCTTTTGCACCTCAAACCAATCAGATGTTTCACCAGCTGCTCTGATGGATGCTTGTTGTTCTTGATAAAGATTTTCAATTAAATGCACAAAATCCGATGGAAATCCGATACTTCTCATAATATTACACAGTTTCTGATGTTGGACACAATAAAAGGCCTTGCTATAATAAAAAAAACAAGCATGAAGATCTGTAAATATATATTAATATTTGCTATAAAAGTATTAACACTGTATCAGTAAATGTTAACATTGTAACTGTAAATGTTAACATAGTAACTCTATATGTTAACATAGTAGCATTAGATGTTGTATGTTAACATTGTGGCTGGTTCATGAAGTGGATATGGTGTGTTTTCAGTGCTGTGAAGGTGGAGAACGAGACTGAAGAAAGTAAACCTGAGCAGGCGGTGGAGGAATCTCAGGAAGAGTTTGAACCTGACAGTAAACCCGAGGTACAGCCCACACCTGAAGCTGGAGCTCAGAATGGAGTAGATAAGGTGAGCATCATATACACACAGCTCTTGAGTTCAGCAGTCTCTAGATACCCTTAGTAAAGTAAAGGTCCCTTTTCCACACTTCTAGGCATAGGGAATCTAGGGCTAGACTTATAGTTTTGTAGACCGATCGGCACTTGGTGGGTGAAGTCGTCTGCATCACGCAGGCTGCCTTTACTTCCCAGGACTGCACCTGATATCCATTCAAGGCTGGGTCCACCTGGGATTGACCCCCACCCACACCAGCTCCCTCTTCCCACCCCCACCCCTTGCCACAATGAAATACAACTTGTTCAGGACCAACTGGATTTTGTTGCTAAAGTTATCTATGGAGCAAGAGTGTTATGCCAACCTTCATTAGAGCCTCCTTATGACATGTATGGTAGATATAGCATTACAGCTCTCTCCTCCACCTGTGGGCTGTGTGGTTTTTGTATTAATTATAGATCATATTTGTGTTTTCCTGGATGGGCCTGCATGCATGTGTTCTGTACTCAGTAGCTCTCCATAGAGTATGTTGTGAGATATATATGTTCTGTACTCAGTAGCTCTCCATAGAGTATATTGTGAGATATATATGTTCTGTACTCAGTAGCTCTCCATAGAGTATGTTGTGAGATATATATGTTCTGTACTCAGTAGCTCTCCATAGAGTATGTTGTGAGATATATATGTTCTGTACTCAGTAGCTCTCCATAGAGTATGTTGTGAGATATATATGTTCTGTACTCAGTAGCTCTCCATAGAGTATATTGTGAGATATATATGTTCTGTACTCAGTAGCTCTCCATAGAGTATGTTGTGAGATATATATGTTCTGTACTCAGTAGCTCTCCATAGAGTATGTTGTGAGATATATATGTTCTGTACTCAGTAGCTCTCCATAGAGTATATTGTGAGATATATATGTTCTGTACTCAGTAGCTCTCCATAGAGTATGTTGTGAGATATATATGTTCTGTACTCAGTAGCTCTCCATAGAGTATATTGTGAGATATATATGTTCTGTACTCAGTAGCTCTTCATAGAGTATGTTGTGAGATACATATGTTCTGTACTCAGTAGCTCTCCATAGAGTATGTTGTGAGATATATATGTTCTGTACTCAGTAGCTCTCCATAGAGTATATTGTGAGATATATATGTTCTGTACTCAGTAGCTCTCCATAGAGTATGTTGTGAGATATATATGTTCTGTACTCAGTAGCTCTCCATAGAGTATGTTGTGAGATATATATGTTCTGTACTCAGTAGCTCTCCATAGAGTATATTGTGAGATATATATGTTCTGTACTCAGTAGCTCTCCATAGAGTATGTTGTGAGATATATATGTTCTGTACTCAGTAGCTCTTCATAGAGTATATTGTGAGATATATATGTTCTGTACTCAGTAGCTCTCCATAGAGTATATTGTGAGATATATATGTTCTGTACTCAGTAGCTCTCCATAGAGTATATTGTGAGATATATGTGTTCTGTACTCAGTAGCTCTCCATAGAGTATGTTGTGAGATATATATGTTCTGTACTCAGTAGCTCTCCATAGAGTATATTGTGAGATATATATGTTCTGTACTCAGTAGCTCTACATAGATTATATTGTGAGATATATGTGTTCTGTACTCAGTAGCTCTTCATAGAGTATGTTGTGAGATATATATGTTCTGTACTCAGTAGCTCTCCATAGAGTATGTTGTGAGATACATGTGTTCTGAACTCAGTAGCTCTCCATAGAGTATATTGTGAGATATATATGTTCTGTACTCAGTAGCTCTCCATAGAGTATGTTGTGAGATATATATGTTCTGTACTCAGTAGCTCTTCATAGAGTATATTGTGAGATATATATGTTCTGTACTCAGTAGCTCTCCATAGAGTATATTGTGAGATATATATGTTCTGTACTCAGTAGCTCTCAATAGAGTATGTTGTGAGATATATATGTTCTGTACTCAGTAGCTCTCCATAGAGTATATTGTGAGATATATGTGTTCTGTACTCAGTAGCTCTCCATAGAGTATATTGTGAAATATATATGTTCTGTACTCAGTAGCTCTCCATAGAGTATATTGTGAGATATATATGTTCTGTACTCAGTAGCTCTCCATAGAGTATATTGTGAGATATATATGTTCTGTACTCAGTAGCTCTCCATAGAGTATGTTGTGAGATATATATGTTCTGTACTCAGTAGCTCTCCATAGAGTATATTGTGAGATATATATGTTCTGTACTCAGTAGCTCTCCATAGAGTATATTGTGAGATATATGTGTTCTGTACTCAGTAGCTCTCAATAGAGTATGTTGTGAGATATATATGTTCTGTACTCAGTAGCTCTCAATAGAGTATGTTGTGAGATATATATGTTCTGTACTCAGTAGCTCTCCATAGAGTATGTTGTGAGATATATATGTTCTGTACTCAGTAGCTCTCAATAGAGTATGTTGTGAGATATATATGTTCTGTACTCAGTAGCTCTCCATAGAGTATGTTGTGAGATATATGTGTTCTGTACTCAGTAGCTCTCAATAGAGTATGTTGTGAGATATATATGTTCTGTACTCAGTAGCTCTTCATAAAGTATGTTGTGAGATATATATGTTCTGTACTCAGTAGCTCTTCATAGAGTATGTTGTGAGATACATGTGTTCTGAACTCAGTAGCTCTTCATAGAGTATGTTGTGAGATATATGTGTTCTGTACTCAGTAGCTCTCCATAGAGTATGTTGTGAGATATATATGTTCTGTACTCAGTAGCTCTCCATAGAGTATATTGTGAGATACATATGTTCTGTAGTCAGTAGCTCTCCATAGAGTATGTTGTGAGATATATATGTTCTGTACTCAGTAGCTCTCCATAGAGTATATTGTGAGATACATATGTTCTGTAGTCAGTAGCTCTTCATAGAGTATATTGTGAGATATATATGTTCTGTACTCAGTAGCTCTTCATAGAGTATGTTGTGAGATACATATGTTCTGTACTCAGTAGCTTTTCATAGAGTATGTTGTGAGATATATGTGTTCTGTACTCAGTAGCTCTTCATAGAGTATGTTGTGAGATACATATGTTCTGTACTCAGTAGCTCTCCATAGAGTATGTTGTGAGATATATATGTTCTGTACTCAGTAGCTCTTCATAGAGTATATTGTGAGATATATGTGTTCTGTACTCAGTAGCTCTTCATAGAGTATGTTGTGAGATATATATGTTCTGTACTCAGTAGCTCTTCATAGAGTATGTTGTGAGATATATATGTTCTGTACTCAGTAGCTCTCCATAGAGTATGTTGTGAGATACATATGTTCTGTACTCAGTAGCTCTCCATAGAGTATGTTGTGAGATACATATGTTCTGTACTCAGTAGCTCTTCATAGAGTATGTTGTGAGATACATATGTTCTGTACTCAGTAGCTCTCCATAGAGTATGTTGTGAGATATATATGTTCTGTACTCAGTAGCTCTTCATAGAGTATATTGTGAGATATATGTGTTCTGTACTCAGTAGCTCTCCATAGAGTATGTTGTGAGATATATATGTTCTGTACTCAGTAGCTCTCAATAGAGTATATTGTGAGATATATGTGTTCTTTACTCAGTAGCTCTCCATAGAGTATGTTGTGAGATACATATGTTCTGTACTCAGTAGCTCTCCATAGAGTATGTTGTGAGATACATATGTTCTGTACTCAGTAGCTCTCCATAGAGTATGTTGTGAGATATATGTGTTCTGTACTCAGTAGCTCTCCATAGAGTATGTTGTGAGATACATATGTTCTGTACTCAGTAGCTCTTCATAGAGTATGTTGTGAGATACATTAATGTATTGTCTGATTCTAGTCCCCAGAACTGAGTGCCCCCGCTGCAACCACAGAAATCAAGATTACACCAGAAACACCAGAGAAACCAGAGAACCCTCCAGCCTGAGGAACCGGGCAATCTGATCTGCAGCGGTTACACTCACCATTCTGTAGTTGATAGATGGAGACATTCTTCAAACATGCATTGTTGCTTCTTCTGCTTTGCGTTAGAGACAGTGTCAGTTGATTTCAGTTGTGTGTCGGGTTTTGCTTGGGGACCTGCCAATGGCATTTCATCATTTCTTATTTATGCAGTCTTGCACAGGGTGTTTTACTACACTATATTGAATTTTACAATTTCTCTTATCCATTTTTTTTTCAATAAACATGTTTTGCATTGATGGCAACAATAAATGATAGTTGATTTTGTAGCCTGCAGTCTGCCACAGTGCTGATAAAGACTGGGAGGTTGTCATAGCACTAGATTTTGCAATCAAATTGTGTTGTTAGTAGCAGCCATGGCATGTCACATTCAGGTCATGGCTACACTTCCAGCATGACCTTGACCTCAGTTCAGTATATATCCATGACCCAGGTTTTGATGTAAAATAAAAAACTTGATTGTGCTAGCTGATTTACATCACACATTAAGATTCATGTTCACACACACACACAAATCTGGCCATTTATTGAGGTAATCGTAGGCTAGCAAATTATCTGTTCATGTGAGCTGTAAGAGAATGGATCGCACTTAGACAGCTGAAAGAAAACAAACTATAGGCACACCCAATGTTGGCTTGACATTCTTTATGGCACCATCATCTTGATGAAACAAGTTTTGGCACCCAACTGCCTCATCACACCCCCTCTGTGAGTGCCCATCAGTGGTTATATAAATATATGGGGGGGGGGGGGGACAATTAAAGGAACTCAAATTTGTATCAAGCGTCGGACAGTAGTACCAGAAAGGTACAAACTTTCAGAACAAAATCCAGACCAAATTTTTGCAAACTCAACCAGAAATTATATTCTCCTGTTCATAACAGGTGTTTAACACCCTGCAGCATTTGAGAATTTTTTTCCACAGAAATATTTCCAGCAATATCATTTCGTAACAAATATATATGACACATATTGTGAAAACTAGTACCAAATACAGATATGTGTGTGAAATACGAAATAATATTCATATATACATATTACAACAGATGTTATTATATGTTTATGCGATATATAACAACATTTCAGAATCTGTTTCCATTAAAATATTTCCAAACAAATCACATTGTAGCAACTATGTCTAGGACATATAGTGAAAATCAGTAGCAAATATATGTGTGACATACAAACATGAATTTCTACACACATATACAACAACAGATTTTTTTTTACAGTTTTACTGTTCATAATATGTAACACATTTGAGCATTTATTTCCATTCAAATATTTATGAAATGTTTTGTTAGCAGCAAATTATCTATGATGTCAAATGAGTACAAGAGAATGAGAGAAAGGAGAAATGAACATGTACATTAATGTTCAGCCTTTGTACCAGTGTTTTACTGCGCTACAATTTGTCAGTTTTCAATATTCATACGCTTCACATTTATAGAACATTTTGATGCTTAATGCCCTTTTCAATGTTGTATTTCCTGTCTAAAGTTGCCAGATTGGACACTGCTTTTATCACATTGCCACTTTGTTGTCAAACAGAAGTCTATATACACATATATAATTATATATTAAAATATATTTCCAACATGTTTGTGCACTGCTCACTTTGTGGGCAGGAGTTTTCTCTTGATGTAGCAATCATTGCTGGGTATATATACATATTTATAGTAAGTATAGTGACCTATCAGCTTCATTTTGTTGTTTTTCTTTATTTAATTGAATTGGTAAGCATTAAGATTGTTTTCTGATTTGCCTGTTCTGATTGGGCCTTGTCTGATGGGTTTGCTACTGGACCTGGTAGTGTTTGTTTGTTTCGTGTGTTTATTCACCAGAGTTCTATTTTTAAGATTTTCTTGTTGTTGTCCTTGTCCTTGATTGGTGTACGCACAGCATGATGTGTACGTGACGTATGTCTTTTATTGACTCTCTTTATATTGTATATTTGATTGTTTTCTAATGGAGTTATAGACAATTGCTGCACATTATGAGTGTTGTATGCTAGAAATTATGTATGTCACATTCTGTACATCATATGTCACACGTTATATATGTAGTGTGTCATACATTCTGCATGTTGTATGTCACATGAATTGTGTGTATTATGTCAGAAATTCTCTGTGTGTGTATTGTTTGAGTTCTACACAACCAGCCTTCCACACACACCACACTTTTGCATTATGCTGTGTGTTTGAAGCATAGATGTCCTGAGACCACACATCGATGTTTGTTTGAGTGCTATACTCTTCCATGTAGATGCTTCTGGACTCATGATCTGCCAACTTGTGTGCAGAAAGTGTTATGTTTCTACCTGTACTCGCTGGTTTATTGCCGATATTTCAGTGAAAAAATAGTTCTTGTTCTTAGCCATCTCTGACTGTCAACTCCAGTAGAAAGTTCTGGTTGATCGTCCACTTTGGGACTTCATGTTCAGGAATTTGAGTTTTGCATGCACATCCATGCTGGCTTGTTTGTATGCAGACTGTTGGTTCCTATCATGTCAGGCAGATGCACTGCGACTTCAAAGGAAACAACCCTACATAGTTTCCTTTTACAACATGTTTGTTCTGCCACATCCTGTGAAAGATACGCAACAAACTTTTGTTGTTGTTGCCATCTGTGGATAGGCCTTGCGAACATGCTTCGTAATGCTGGGGTGCCGGGTTCGATCCTAGCTGTGGGTGGTTTGTCTTGCACTGGTTTCAACATTGGTACTGAGAGCTGACCATTCAGTAAGCAATGGCAAACTACTGAACAAAAATATTTGCTTAGAAAAACCACAATAGCCACAAAAATGCTATGGTTGGTTCTGCAACGTCCTTGCAACTAACTTTTGTTTTGTTGTGGGTTAGATGACAGTGAATCTATTCTTATCTTAGATGACAGTGAATCTATTCTTATCTTAGATGACAGTGAATCTATTCTTATCTTAGATGACAGTGAATCTATTCTTATCTTAGATGACAGTGAATCTATTCTTATCTTAGATGACAGTGAATTTATTCTTATCTTAGATGACAGTGAATCTATTCTTATCTTAGATGACAGTGAATCTATTCTTATCTTAGATGACAGTGAATCTATTCTAATCTTAGATGACAGTGAATCTATTCTTATCTTAGATGACAGCGAATCTATTCTTATCTTCCCCAAAATGGGACTCTTGAACCCATACGGAGGGTGAAATAGTTCTTCATGAAAATCTGTTCACCTCCAACAATTTGTATAACACAAGCTAGACATGTTTTCTGATTATGGCTTGTTTTTCTCATTTGGACATTTTGCCTGGGCAGTGGCCAATCAGTCCTGGGCAGTGGCCAATCAGTCCTGGGCAGTGGCCAGTCAGTCCTGGGCAGTGGCCAGTCAGTCCTGGGCAGTGGCCAGTCAGTCCTGGGCAGTGGCCAGTCAGTCCTGGGCAGTGGCCAGTCAGTCCTACTTCTCACCATTTCTAGCTGACAAGTGATTTTTTTGTAGTTTTGTTTTGTTTGTTTTTCAACATGTGCAGTCTTGACTCAGGTCCTCTGAGTGTTTCATTTCTTGAGAAGGCTTTGTGTCTAATCATTAACCTGGGAGTAGATGGAGACTGATCATCTTTTATTTTTGTCTAAATATCTAAGCAGTCCACACCTTGAGCTAGACCAGGTGTATTTGAGTCCCAGGTGGACATTATAACCTCTACTGACCCACACACTTCAATCACCTATCCTTGTGATCCTGCCACCTGGAGAAGACTGCATCCAGTCACTTTTCATGGAGACACAGTCCCATAAATGTTGATGTATCTACCTGTCGGCAGTGACATGTTCTCCAAAAATGAAGTTCAATGACATTGGTTCTCACTCTACCTGAACTGTGTTTAATAGGCTGGGATATAAAAGTATTCACTTACAAAAAAAGCATTTAGGGGGTTTCCTGACGCTCTCAGTGGCTATTTGAAAGCCAAGTGGATGACCTATTTGAAAGCCAAGTGGACGACCTATTTGATAGCCAGGTGGATGAACTATTTGAAAGCCAAGTGGATGACCTATTTGAAAGCCAAGTGGATGACCTATTTGAAAGCCAAGTGGATGACCTATTTGAAAGCCAAGTGGGTGACCTATTTGAAAGCCAGGTGGATGAACTATTTGAAAGCCAAGTGGATGACCTATTTGAAAGCCAAGTGGATGACCTATTTGAAAGCCAAGTGGATGAACTATTTGAAAGCCAAGTGGATGAACTATTTGAAAGCCAGGTGGATGACCCATTTGAAAGCCAGGTGGATGACCCATTTGAAAGCCAAGTTGGTGACCTATTTGAAAGCCAGGTGGATGACCCATTTGAAAGCCAGGTGGATGACCCATTTGAAAGCCAGGTGGATGAACTATTTGAAAGCCAGGTGGATGAACTATTTGAAAGCCAGGTGGATGACCCATTTGAAAGCCAAGTTGGTGACCTATTTGAAAGCCAAGTGGATGACCTATTTGAAAGCCAGGTGGATGACCCATTTGAAAGCCAAGTTGGTGACCTATTTGAAAGCCAGGTGGGTGACCTATTGACTCGTAAGCCTCAGTGATAGAGGTCTAGGACTTTGGCTTGAGCTTTTTTGTTTTGTTTTGAGAGCCAGAGAAAATGTATCCTATTTTATTCTCAACTGTGTTCACATTTATGAGTCACCCATTTTGTCAATCTTGACATATTTTAGGAGAAAATCTTGACATATTTTAGGAGAAAATCTTGACATATTTTAGGAGAAAATCTTGACATATTTTAGGAGAAAATCTTGACATATTTTAGGAGAAAATCTTGACATATTTTAGGAGAAAATCTTGACATATTTTAGGAGAAAATCTTGACATATTTTAGGAGAAAATCTTGACATATTTTGGGAGAAAATCTTGACATATTTTGGGAAAAAATCTTTACATATTTTGGGAGAAAATCTTTACATATTTTGGGAAAAAATTATTTTAATAGGTA